TATATATATATATATATATATATATATATATATATATATATATATATATAGTGCATTTTATATACTTCTCTCAGTCAGTACAGATTCGATAAATAAATATATATATATAGTAAAGAGTTTTGATGTTATCCAATTCCACCAACAGGTGATTCTCGCACACATTAATACATAATATATAAATCTGCACTTAGTGAGTAGCAGACACAACAAACTTTTTTATATTACTCTTTAAGCCATTTCATTCGTTTTTGTGTTAACCCAAACAGACATAGACCAACACACACTAGCATATACACACACGCACACTCGAAAAAATCGTTCATATCATTGAGTATTGTTCCCACAATTTGCACATACTTATCCACAAATGTATTAGTACACTCTGAGTAGTTTCTGTCGTTGACCTGCATTCAGCAGACTGTGCTGCCATGTCCTGTGTGTCCTGTCTCCACCTCCTGCAATCCCACACAGTCAGAGTCTGTGTCTGAATGAGTTCGATACGAGGCCAAAGCGACGATAAAAATAGTAAATACAATAAAAATTATAATTGTATATAGGAAAATTACATGCTTTAACCTCAAACACACATACACAGAGAGGAGCATACATATGTATATAATAAATAAGCAGGGTGCCGGCCGGCCATTATTTTTATATATTCGTCTGCAGCAAGGAGTATGTAAGAAAGTTTAGTGTTTACGTATGGGTGTGCGTGTGTGTGTGTGTGGCCAGACACATTCACAGACTAGCTCTGACTCTCACTAATACAGACAAGCCATAGACAAACTTACTGTAATTCTTTTATATACACATATATTTCTTTCATCTTTTTCTGTTGTTACCAGATTTTTTTCATGCACTGTCCCAGTTCGGTTCATGAAAAGTTTAATGGCACGTTGGGAGTGTGGACTTTTCGAAAGAGAAAGTAAGAATTCTTTCGCTTTGGGTTTGCCTTTGGCTTTTGCTATGGCCACTGAATGGTAGAAGACCTTGCAATTTTTATACAGCTGTAAAAGTTTTATTCGATATGTGTGTTTGGTGGCATCTGGGGGCAGTAGACAGCCCACAGCCACAGCCACTGGCTCTGGCACTGGCTGTGGCAGTGGCATTGGCAGAGCCACAGTTATTTACCACTCCATTGGATATGAGTGTCCATGTCTGGGTGCACGATTCGCACAATTATGCACCTACATACATACATACGTACATGTTTATGCTATGAATGGGTGCCTGGGTGTCTATATGTGTATATAGTCGAAATGAAGGTTAAGGACATGACCAAGTATACGTCCCACCCCAACGCCCCACTCAAGTCGATAATAAGTTATTAATTTTGTTTAAAGATGATTAGCATTGCGCATCGCATGGTCACAATGTTCGCATATGTCTGTATGTGGATGTAATCATTATAATATTAAATTAAATTACGAATTGTCGTGTAATTTATAATTTAGTTGGGTGTATTTAATTACATAGATCGCACATTTATTTAATTAACTCACGCACACATACATATAACGTGTTAATACACAAACTAATAAATACTATGCAATCTTAGCTTATTCGCTCATTCACATACACATACACACATACGTACGTACACACATGTGTGTAATTAGCTAAGACGCCCACGAGAAACATTGACTGCAGCCTCTGGCGAGCAGACTTCTTGTACTTACTCTTTGACTGCTTGTCCCGCTCTTAAGCACTGCTCTCTTTAGTCGCACACTCTTTGTCGACTCTTATTGCTTTCATGCCCACACACACACACACACACACATACAGTCGATTCGAACAGGTCCAGTGGCGTCTTGCTCCTCAGACTTTTGCTTTTTCACGTATGTTGTGTGCTGTGTGGCTTTATACATTCATACAGAAGAAAGAAATCATGTGTCAGTCATGCGCAAAACGTGTTTTTCATTTTAAAATCGCGTGTCCCGCTCCTTCAAATGGCAACGGCTAGTGGACGAGCTCCTTTGCATGCCTCGCACTTGTTAGCCGAGACGGAGGCGGAGCATACGGCCATTCGCTTGGCTTCCAAGATACCGTCGGCCGGGCCAGCCATCATCTCGAGTCTAACCCACTTGAGGCCCGAATTTCGAGCTCAAGCTTCAGGCCTGGCTTGGACCAGCAGTGCCCATTCTCAGCTTGCACCTGCTGCTGCTGCCACTGCCACTGGGAGGGGGGCCACGCAACAGGCTGTAACTGACTGCGCTGGGCATGGATGGGGTCACTGCTACTGCTGCTGGATGGGGATGTTTCTGCTTGCAGGCTGCCAAGCGAGAGCTGCCCACGACAAACATGATGTTGTCGTGGCCGTTGTCGTTGTCGTACTCCGCATGCACGAAGGCAGGTAAACAAGTTATAAATCGTGCGCCTCGTGTGCTCGGCTCCCATTCGTGAAGCGCCCGATGACGACGGTGACGTTGGCGAATGGTTTATTCTTGTTGCTTATTCGTAGATTCTCGCGGCACTGTGTCTGTGTGCTGCAATTTGGAGCAGGCGCGAACTCAACGCACCAATTAGCATATTCCATTGTCTCTATGTGTGTGTGTGTGTGTGTGTGTCTGTATGTGCATATGTGTGTGTGCACGTATTTGTACATCCCAGGCCTTTTCATTTTTGGCATTGCTGCGACCTCGTCGTCGCCGTCGCTGTCGCCGCTGCCGTCGTCGTCATCGTCGTCGTCACCGTCGTGTTATGGCTTTTTAGTGGCATGGGGGCGTGCCACAGCTCTTTTCGCCGTGAAGATACAGCAGCAGCAGCAGCAGCAGCAGCATATTTGATGTCTGTATTGGTATCTGCGAGCGCCCAGCTTTGTGTGTGTGTG